ATATATATATATATATTTTTTTTTTTTTACAAGATTTATCATCTATTCAGGCCCAGAGAGTATGACATGAATATCTTAATGTAATAATTATTGCTTTCTTGAGTGGAAAAGCCAACAGATATAATTTATTATGCTAACTGATGGCAGTTCATATTGAAACGACTGTTCAACTGGGTAAATATGTCCTGGAGACGACCTAGGAAATAATTATGATGGGTATTCAAACAAAATGAAGTGTCCATAGCATAGTTTTCTGAGTATGTTAAAAAAGGAAGTTTTGTGCAAATCTGAACATTCAATGTTCCCTTAATGTTCCCCTCAATCTTACTCCATCCCTACAAGGAAATAGCACTTGTTCATAGAACCTTTTTTTGCACTACCTTGTCAACTGAAGCTCTGCAGACATGTCATTCTCTATTCTATACATGAAGAATGAGAGGGGTTTTTTAGTTACAGTTGGGAGCTTCCCAGCAAGCCAGCTTCCTGCAACATCTCTGCTCCCCAAGCTGTAAGCAGCAACATTGATATTGATGTTGTTTCAAGAGAAGAGAAAGTTCTCAGTTGAACACACACGTACTCTTCTTTTGTCCTTTATTGTAGCTTAATACACCTTGGCAGTCTCTTGTGTATTTCTTTTTCTCAGTGCATATCCTTTGACTATATCACGGGAAACAAAAGGCACCCATATACCAGGACTTATTAGCTGGAGCTTTGTGCTGAGTTACTTCATGGAAGTGAATGTTACTCTAGATCAGTTTGAAAAATACGCTTTGACTTTGCCTTCAGCTTTATTCTCTAGCCTTTGGTCTGGTATGATGTGAAACAAAAGGTGCGGCATGCAGTTCTATTGGTGGAACTAACAGGGAAATGAGAACAAATAAACATGAAGGAGAAGAGGATTTTGCAGTCAAACTATGTAACAAATATTTGTCTGTGAGCAAGAAAAAGAATGATTTCCATTTTCTCTAATTTTCTAGAAATTCAGGAAGTTGATTATACCTAGCTCAGATCTGAAAATGAGAGGGAAACTTGGAGGAGGAGCCTACATTGCAGCAATAAATGACTGCGACAGCAAACTGAAAGGAGATGGCACCATTTCAGCCATTACAGAAAAGGAGACACATTTCTGAAAGAACTATCTTTTTGGCTTTTTTTGTATAAATGAATAAATAAATAAATTCACTTAATTATAGAGGCTGGCTTGTTTTGCACAAAATTTTATTAACCAGTTAGTTTTGAAGTGAACATTGTATAGTTGTTTAAAAGTGATTTTTTAAATTACTATATAAGTAATGATTATGTAAAAGAAAAAGAAATAGTATTGTGTGGTATGTTAGTGTTGACTTCTTGTAATATGGTGATTTCAGTAAATGTTTTTTTAGAAGTTAGAGGGACCTGTATAATGTGCTGTAAAACTTTTTTTTTGGCAGGTATGATGTTGTATAGATATATGCATTTTAATCTGTAAGCATTTCAGACCATTTCAGCTTCTAACGTATGTATATAAAGGGGACCAGAATATCCTTTTGTTTATATTGGAAGATATCGTGGGGGGAGAGAGGGGATCCTTGTAATTGCCGTTACGTATCACTGTCTGAATGTGGGCTGTATCCAAAGTCCACTGAAATCAATGGGAGCTTTTCCTATTTGGGATAGTAGCTTTTGCATCGGGCTGTGTGTGATTCAGCCTTTCACCTCGGCTAGGGCAGCTGCAAGACTGAGCTTTACACCTAATAAAGCTCTTTTTTTCAGGGCAAGTTTTGTGAAGCTGGCATAAGTACCACCTCAACTGATACTGTTGCCTTCCCTCTACCCTCCATCTGCTTCCAACAGGTCTAAAAATGTGGTGGAATGGGCCCGCTTCTGAGTCACTGTTTTTCTGGAGATGGGATTGAGAGTTTTTTTTTTAAGAGCTGCGAATTTTACGGTTCTTGTAAGTTACTGGTCTCTAAGTTCGCGTGTACTGCTGCAAGACACCTCTGAAGCTTTTTCATCTCCTTTGGTCTCTGGGTGGCCAGTGCTTCATTTTGATTTACTTTTCCCATCCCCTAAAGTGAAATGTATTTGTCTACGCTAGTGCAGCAGGAGGAGATGGAGATCACTTTATGCACATGGAGATGTTTTGAGGAAAAAAAGAACAGATTTAGAGCTATGCAAATACCTTGGCCTGTCTGTCTCTTTTGTTGCCTGTTTTCCAGCCTGTCTACCTGTTTATCTATTCACTCCCTTTGAAAGAAATCAAGGATCTTGTAATGACCAGGTATAGCACTAATACAGTTTTTTCCATCTCCGAGGTACTTTCTAGATGCTCTCAGATTAGTTCTTCTGCCCTAAATGGTATACAGACTTGCACCGAAGGCAGAATAGTTTATTTAGTGGAAGACCAGAGTAGTAGGTCCTTAAACTCTACAAGATTTCCAGGGAATAAACTCTGTATTGTGCAGATGAAGGAATTAAGACAAGGATGTGATTTTACTGTTTCTACAAAGGGAGCAGTATTGGTTTGTGATATCATACTTATTTATTCCATCCGTTGTATAAACTGACTCCCTCTGATTTAAAACAGATTTTGGTATGTGAATGCAACTGATGGAAGGTCAGGACCATGAGGTATCCAAATGCTAGTTCCAGCATCAAAATCTCTCAGCTATCACTTGCTGTCTTTTCTTCTGCCAATATCACAAGCATTATGTTATTTGTACTGGACAGCTAATTTTTTTTGGTCTTCCATCTCCCATCCTCTTCTCAAACTGTGATGGCATGTTTTTTATTTAATAGCTATATGAAAAGCCTGTGGAGGAATACTGTACTGTATTACACATTATTTCATGAGGAGAGAGAAACAACAGCATAAGAGAGCTCAGAAGCAATGTCATAACATCCCCTCCCCTATCTGCAAGGATGAATTCAAAATCACCTCAAATACCAGCATCTGGAGTTACTAGAAACAGAAGTGTTACATGTCCTGCTGGCCCTCTACAGAGGAATAAAGTTGACCAGAAGTCACAAAGTATATCTTAATACTACATAGAACTGTTTATGTAGTCAGCATTTCATCGTGATTTTATGGTATCATAATTACCTCCTATAAAAACATCTTCAATAGAGTCATTTGTTTTCAAGTTACGTTCTTCAATCTAAGTAATATATTTCATTTTACTTATTTATATTTTTGGTGTGGGAGAGGGAAATCCAAGAGAGAAAATTTCTCTACCACACTTTTATTTCAAGTGTTTTAAATGCTGCTTGACTTTGAATGTCTGCATCATTATGTACTTAGGACAATTTGAAGGGTCCTGGCTTTACAAAGGTGCAGAGCTGCCCTGCTGTCAGTGCTGGGTCGCTCGAAGGGAGTCTCCAGCTTGGCACCCAGAACTGGAGGTTACTGCTGAAAATCACAATCACACTGGAATGCAACACTTTTGGAAAAGAAATATTCCTGGAATGGGAACTGCAGATTGAGGTAACTATACAGTGAAGCAACTACAATCTACATACTGACATTGACAAAAGGCCAACTCCAGAGTTGAGAAATCAACATTTTTTTGAATTTCCAGTGATTCATTTAGTATATGTGAAATGCAGTGTCCCTTTTCAGTCTTTCTCTCCACCTAGCGAAGTTGCAGGACTAAGCCCCAAAGCCTACAGACCACATACGGGCTTTGGGATGGAGTCTTTTTCCTCCCCAGGTTAGCCTCTACACATTTTCTAGGGAATGAAGGATGTGCAAACGTAGATGAACTGTTGGGTTACACTTGGCCCTTAGCCTTCATTACAATGAAGTTATCTTCAGGAATATCCTCCTGAATGCTTATAGCAGAATGTGCCAATAGGTGCAGCCCATACCACCTCAACTGGCCGCCCAATAGGAACAAAATACCAGACAAGGTCACCCTTTAAACCCTAACACTCATTGCTGTAGCATTTAAAAAAAAAAAAAAAAAAGGTGGTGCCATTTTAGCTTATCAATGTACTTTGGACTGTTGTACTCATCCAGATATCTCCACAGAAACTATGTACTTTGTATGGAACATGCTTCCTATTCTGCTGCTATGAACCATTTCACCAGTAGCTTTATACACATACATAAGTTTGGCATGGTCTAAAGCATTATACCATGTTACTAATGTGCTGTGCTTGTAAATGTGTACATTTAATATATGCCTTTAACGCTTCACTGATTTTTTAAAAATATTTTTCTTTTTGTGGGGAGGGATGTGGGAGGGCAAATTTCGTAATAGTATTTGTGAATTTTTTTTTTTTTTTGCAACAATGTGAAGGGGAAAAAATGTGAAAAACAACTATATCATTGTGATTTTTTTTACACGATAGAAACAATATTGCCCTTTTCTGAAGTACCTGCAGTACTATTATAAAACAATAAAAATGAACAACCACTAAGATTTACGTAACATTTTGCACAAAGAAAGATTCTGAGTTGAGTTTTGAAGGGCACAAGATTTTGTCTGCTTACTCATTTTTAAAAATTAAAAGAAATGGGCAAAACTTGTTCTGTGTGTTTTCGTTTATGTCGGAGTATTTTATATGACCCTCACCTAACATTAAATCATCACAGCTTCCCTGTTAGGACAGATGTAGATACCTTTATAAATGTAGATACCTTTATACATGGGGAACTGAGAAACAAGAGGCCATTAAGCAGCTTGTTTGAGGAAATTCAGTAAATCTGTGGCTGAAACAAACCAAACTAAAGACACCTGAGCTTATGACAAAATGGTTGCTGTTATCTAACATAAACCCACGTTGCTATGGAGAAGGGGAAATTTTCTGCTGCTCCTTCCCCTCTTCTGGCCATACTGTCCTGCATCCTGCTTTGTGTTGCCACAAGCATGAGTATAGCCCTGCAGTTCCTGCTCAGGACTGGTCTGGCTGAAACCTAGCACAACAGAAATATACAGTTAGTTTCCAGTAACTCCAGTTTATGACCTGGCCATACAAATGCTAGTGCTGAAGGGAGGCACTGCAGGAAGACAGAATTACATCTCCAGCTGCTGTATACATTATGCTGGATTAAAATAAACTTGCAACCGTAGCCTCAGTCATAGGCCAGTGCTCTGTCCCTTTGATCATCCTCTGTACTACGATTTTGTGCTTTTATACTCTTTCTCACGTCACTGGCCTTCACGCAGGGAAAAAAGCTTGTCTTAGTACATGCCATATTGATGAAAATTTCTGATTTTCTGCCCTGAGACACCCTATTATAGAGTAGCCTGACACACAGGAAATGAAGCTCTTTTCTTAAAGGCTGTTTCTCATCTTGATTAACGAAGCATGGCCATAATAAGGAAAATAGGCAATGGATATTGACAGAGCCTTCCAATTCCTCTCTGACTACCAACACCTCTACCCAGCATCAGATACCACAAGAAGAACGTGCACCCTTTTCCCAGGGTTGATGTCTTTGGAACTGCAGCCCCTGGCAGCCCTAGGATCCAGCCAGGCAGCATGACAAGAAGTTAGGTTTTCAGCCCCATCTTGCAACTGAATATTGAGCAAATCTACATATTGGGGAATTTGGTTTAGGATGTTGATCATTCCCTATTCAGAGGCATACCTGTACTTTACGGTCATCTGCAGTGCAACAGCAAGTCTGGTGAAGACTTCTAAAAACAGTAATTTCTGACTGGATCAGTCCCGGTGGATTATAGAAGCTTCCACTTGCACGCTTGGCTGGAGGACGATGTGAAAATTTGCACACAAAAAGACAAAGGAGAAAATTGGCTGAGATTTGGGTGTTGATTTGAAGCAAGAATATGAGGAAAGACAAAACTTGCAGACCCCTATTCTTACATGTTTTAATTTTAAAAGGTTTAGATCCTTTTTTAACTTTTGCTCTCTAAGAGGTGCAACAATCCTCAGCCTTGTCCTACAGTCCATCAGCTTGTCCTGAATTCCAGTCTTGTCCACTTCCTTATTGAGTGGCCAGGCTCACGGGGATTGCAGCAGGCTCTTCTTGGGCTTTCAAGCTAATTTTCTACATCTGTCCACCTTGGTTGCTTTGATCATCACCTGTGTTTGTCCACCCTGCAAAAGGCATGGCCTTGAGCTGTGTGATTTTTACTGTCAAAAACAGAAGCCCAAATGTAACACAAATATTGTCATAAAGAGAAAGAAAAAAAATCTTTGAATGATCCTAGAAATGCTCTTGCCAATAGTGCTTTCTAGTGCTGTTATAGCCTGTGCTATAGACACCTGAACCAGGTTTCTCACAAGCTGTTACTGTCACAGCTGATAGAGCGGGTCCTTTTGCAATATGATGAGACCCCTTGCTTTTTAAAAGATACTTACTGCTCTGGTACTTCAGTTAATCAAGAAGGGAAGTGTAAGTACAGCCAAGAACTCCTTGCTATGGATGATTGGTGACAATGTATCAGGATGTGCTTTCCTTCAAGTGTAGCTTGCTATTAATGTAGTCGGTTGGCCAACTGCCCTATCCATTCCAAGTACTTACTAAGGCACTAGGTAAGAGGCACAGCAGCTTTTCTTAAATGTTACTGCAAAATGTCTTGTAAGAAACACTGAGAGCTCCAGCTGTTCTCTTTTTATCTAAATAAAAACACTCACTTGTTTCTCATACCATACAGAGATGAATCATTCCACTCTTCTTCCCAAAAGGCCAAAAACTGTCTGCAATTAAGACATGCTGTGCTCAAAAGAGCAAACTACAGCTACTCAGGCAGATGGTCCAGGGCCAGTTCCAAGCTGGGTTCTGCCACTGCTGCGGATTTTAGCTGTGCTCTAATCAGCACCCACCATCGCCAAACCTGGCACAAGCAAGAGTAGAACTGGTCAAGACAACACAAAGCACGTTAAAGGGACGCAGTCAAGAACCTGTAGTGCTTGTACCTTCAAAGGCCTTGTCCACCTGGAAAATGAATTATGTGGTTTATTATGCAGCAGGAGATGCCAGGGTTGTTTTTGTGTTTACATCCTTCCATCTGTAAATCAGCATGATTGGTCTTGTCACCCAGGAACACGCTTAGCTGGGTGACTAGTGGGTCAGACTGCTGCTGCAGAGCCCTGTTTTGTGCTCTGTTTAGACAGGCTTGGCAAAGCACAGTGGTTCTCTCTCATCAAACTCTGCTTACATTTCTCTTGCCCCTACATTAATTTGGAAGAATAAGTGCATGAACTTCAACAGAAACATGCCCAGGAACTCTTCTTCTTGATTTTTCTTTTTCATTTTCCTGTAGAATCAGTTTTGTTATCTCTGTTTAAACACTGGCAAAAATTGCAAGCCAAATAATGAATCATCAGGTCAGTAAATGGAAATCAAGAGGACAAATAAGCTGTCAAGAGAAACAAAGGGCAGGTAATCTCTTTATGTTGTGTGCAGTGAGGAAAGCACACTGCATTAATGAAGACTTTTAAATTGGCTTCTAATTTTATCTGTTTTACAGACTTTTTCCAGAAAACTTGTTTGCCAACTTTCTTCCTTAGGCTTCGTGGAAAACATACTGAGTTCTTTTGGCCCAGACTCCTCCTCTTCCCCAAGTTTTAGGGCCTGCAGCTTCTGGGGCTACCACTTTTTCCCCTTCTGCTTCAGTACATCTGTGCTTCTTCAGTGGAATTCAGAATACAGACTTAGCTGCTGCAGTAGAAGGAGGAGGAAGTGGTGGTTGGAGGCTATCAGCTGCTTGAATTAATTAAGTAACAGCAGGTGAAAGCCATGTTTGGGGAAGGATAGGGGAAGGGGAAAATAGGGGAGACTTCCTGGAAAGAAGATGGAATAAAGTATCATGACAGCATTGCTTAGGCTGGCTGTTGATCACTCTACCTCTTCTGTCCCAGAAGCTGATGCCAAAAATGCACTGACTGTGGCCTTGTCTACCGCTTGGCTCCTTCCTCCAGGACACAACAGGTAGGAGGTGTGGGGCAGGTGAGAGGTCTGCATCTCAACTAGTTTTCTAGCATTGTAACTTCTGGAGTTTGTAGGGTTTTTTTCTGTATTTCTGAACTGTACTGGAGGTTTTTGCATGCCAGTGATCTGACTGACAAGATTGTTGTAGGATTTGTACTAACAGAATATTCAGGTCTTCCTCTTTTATTTTTCCCCCCCACCAAACCTAAGTTCTGCCAGTTCTTGCTTTATCTATCCTTTCCATGTGCAGTTCATATTGCAAACAAGCTCTGAGTATTATAGTGAGCTCAGCTGTTGCCAGTTAGTCCTAATTATTCAATCATTCTGGTAAGTTAACCTAAAATGCTTTAGAATTAAAAGATTTTTCAGCAAATCTTTTCAGAAGCTGATATGTAGATGTTGGAAGCTGTAACATCTAATATGACATAGTCAGATGTACATCATTAGCCCATATGGACTTAGATGTTCCTGGAGTGGCTAAGTCAAGGACTGGTGAATCCAAGCTTTTATCTTTTTAGCAGAAGAGTTTAGTTTTCCTGTTTTAATTTTTTTTTTTTTTGGCAGAATTTGAGTATCGAGTATAAAAAAATCAAATGGACAGTTCTGTATTGGAAACTATTAATTCTTTTTCAGGAAATAATATGCAAGCAGGATGCAATAAAAATTAGAGTGGAAATAGAGCATTGAGAGTCGTAAATTTGCTAAACTACACCTCAGTATTGGTTAACATATGAAAGCCAGGGTGGTACGTACATGAGCTAACAGAACTTTCCGGGCAATACTTAAACTCAGTGAAGCTGGTGTTTTGCACACTCAAACATGGCTTTCTTGCAGCAGCTACAAATTCTTCATTTAAAAGCAGCTGGCTGAAACAAAGAAAATAGTTCTTGCCTTGTAACTCCTTAGCATGGAAGTAATGAAGGAAATCTCTGACATATAATTAGGTTTCCCCTAGCTGAAACTTTCATTAAAATGGAAATTGGGAAAATAGCTTATGTTGCTTGCAGCCTCTCCACTGCGCTATGCAATGATGTAGAAAAGTGCCACGGGAAAGGATTCCTCCCCTACTGGGGGGGTAGGGAGTTGATGTGTCAGTAGCCACAGCCTTGGCTGTAAGATGCTCCAGAAAGGTACCTTTTAACAGCATTTCTGTGGCGGAGTGGGGACACCTTTTGGTTAGAATCAGTCTAATCCTGATGACCTTGCTTGACTGCTGCAAATGGTGGATAAGGAGATGTTTACTATTTGTGATCATGTAAGGTCAACTCTGTCACCACCTTCTAGTTCTTTACACACACTTTGCATGCAGTATACTGGCCCAGAGCAAAATGCAGTGTTTCTGCTAAATAGATTTGCAAGTCCGTTCTCCTTTCTGAGTGTTTCTGTCAAAAGACATGGTTGCTATATCATTAGGTGGCAGCACATGCCAGCATAAAATCAGTCATTCCACAACTCGGCAGCTAAACATGGGGGTGAGGAGCCAGAGATCTTTCAGTAGATGCTAAACTGCGTGCAAAGATTGCATTTTCATTCTTTAAAGAGAAGGCCTAAGAAAATTTCTCTGTTGTGTGTATGTGTGAATTTTTTTTTTTTTTTTTTTTTTAAATCAAGCAT